ACAAACCACCTCACGCAGAAAGGCCTCGGCCCCGACCTTTCCGTGAGATTACCTTTTAGAGCTATAAAATGACCATACTTGGAGAGACGATTAACCACTACCATCACCGAGTTATACCCCTGAGATTTCAGCAATGCGGTGGTGAAATTCATTGAAATATCCTCCCAAATGAGATTCGGAACCGGTAACGGCTGCAACAACCCGGCCGATGTTAGAGCCTCGTATTTCTCTTTCTGACAGATCAAGCATTTTGCTACGTAGTCCTGCACTTCCCGGAACATGCCTCTCCAATAAACACTCAAACCGATCCTTTTATACGTCCGTAGAGCTCCTACATGGCCTCCCAAAGGGGGATCGTGGAATTCCTGGAGTAGTTTTGGAATCCACACTGAGTAAGAAGCTAACACAACGCGGCCCTTATAGAACAACTTTCCACCGACTGTCTCAAACCCCGGTCGACTGTTCAGATCCCGGCGGAGATCAGCAACAACGCTCTGAACGAAGCTATCACGTGCCTGCTCGGATAGCATATCCGCCAACTCACCCCAATTTAAACTACTGACTGCTAACAAGATGCTTTCACTCCCCCTCCGAGAGAGCGCATCTGCCGCCGAGTTAGCCGCACCGGGCTTGTACTCGATAACGAAATCATAACACAATAATTTTGCCACCCAATTTTGTTGAGAGGGCATAACGATCTTCCGTGACAGGAGGTGCTTTAGACTGCTATGATCTGTCCTCACCGTAAACTGGAGACCCACCAAATACGGCCTCCAATGCTGCACTGCTAAAACCAACCCCATTATCTCCATCTCGTATGCCGACCGTGTAAGGGTTTTCTCCGCCAATGACTTACTGAAGTATGCGATTGGACGCCTCTCCTGCATAAGCACGCGCCAATCCCAGACCCGGAGGCGTCACACTCAATTACAAATTGCTTCTGGAAATCTGGCATCGCCAAAACTGGTGCCGTTGTCAAAGCCAATTTTAACGCTCGAAACGCCCCCTCGGTCGCTTTTGTCCAAGCGAACGGAACAGAAGCGGTCTTCTTCAACAAATCTGTTAAGGGTCGTACGATCTGCCCATACCCTTGGACGAACCGGCGATAATAACCGGTAAGGCCCAAAAATCCTCTAACGTCACAGACGCTACAAGGGCTAGGCCATTCCACCACCGCCCGTATCTTCTCTGGGTCCATCTCTACCCCTGCTGCTGATATCACATGACCTAGATACTCCAATTTCGAGCAACCAAATGAGCATTTCTTCATGTTCCCCTTATACGGATTATCTTGTAAAACCTGTAGCACCTCTCTCAAGTGCTCCTTATGTTGCTGGCAGGACCTGCTGTAAATCAAAATGTCATCAAAATATACCAGCACAAATTTCCTTAAATAAGGTCGGAAAAGATCATTCATAGCGGATTGAAAGGTTGTCGGTGCGTTAGTCAGCCCAAATGGCATAACTAGGAACTCATAGTGACCACTATGAGTGTGAAACGCCATTTTATAGATGTCCCGATCTTCTACTCGAATTTGGTGGTATCCGGAACGAAGATCAATCTTTGAAAATATTACCGCTCCCAACAGCTCATCTAACAGTTCCTGAATAACGGGAATAGGGTAATTATTCAGCATTGTCACCTTATTGAGCTCTCGATAGTCCACACAGAAACGCCAACTACCATTCTTCTTCTTAACCAACAACACTGGGTTGGATTATTCCGGCTAGGAGCATGTCCGCAACCATTCGCTCAATCTCGTCCTTCTACACCTGACCGTAGCGATATGGCCTTACCGATACAGGCCCCGAACCCGGCGCCAACTCGATCTTGTGCTCGATACTGCGAATCGGGGGCAGCCCCTCTGGTTCACCGAAGACCCTCTCAAACTGTGCTATAACATCTACAATAGCCTCCCCTGCAAGCTCCAGCACCCCTAGCGGCGCCCCCAATACTACCATAACCAACAACTCTGTTTCCTCTGTTCGAACCAACGCACGGACCCCAATGGGTCCCCTACAGAGAGCTGGATCTCCCCCCAATTGCACTCGTCTTCCTTCAAAAACAAATGAAATCGTCAATTTGGCCCAGTTTGTCTTAACTTCCCCAAGTTTCGCCAACCACGCTACCCCAAGGATAACGTCTACTCCACCTAGCGGAAAAGCGTAAAATCTGCCTTGAACTCGAGACCAGCCATTGACAACCCAATATTGCGGCATATCCCGACCGACTCCAAGCGCCGCCCATCGCCCAGCTGAACTCCGAACCGGCTCGACTCATCAGGCTTCAAATCGAGCTCCGCCACCACGGGACTCGAGATGAAATTATGGCTAGCGCCACTGTCGATCAACACCGTAACTCGATGCCCAAGTATTCCTCCCATGAAGCGCAAGGTCCGCGGCCCGGTGAACCCCGCCATCGAGTACATTGGCAACACAACCTCCTCCTTCTCCCCCTCTTCCGGCACGACTACGGCTGTTTCCCCCCCCCCCCCCTTGCTGATCAGGATCACCGTGAAACTCGAAACAACGTAGATCTGACGTCTCGTCCTCCTCTGCCATCAATACATTCAGTTGTTGCATAAGGCATTGATGCCCTGGCATATATGTTTACTTACAGCGAAAGCATAAACCTTTCGTTCTAAGTTCTGCAATCTCTTGATGAGACATGCGGGAGAATCGTGATGGAGCAGCCGACTGCACCCCGGAAATTGACCGCGCTGGATGAATTCGCTGCGGGGGTCTTGGGCCTGACGACCCTGTTGATCCCATCGACTGAGACATATTAGGTCTTGGCCTGGAGGATAAACTTTACCTTGGCGTAGGCCGGCCGTAAGAAGCAGGCCGCACGGACGTACTACTGTTAGCCTTCCAATCTCGGCCCCCACTCACAATTGCCAAATTCGACTCCACATCTCTTGCTAGGTCCATCACCGTCTCCAAATCTGGTGGCCGCAGGAGACGGAGAGAACCCCGAACCTCCTCTGACAACCCCTTCATAAAGTATCTCAAGTAATGTTCATCACTCAACCCCGGAACCTGACTGGCCAACTGAACGAACAAGTTAGAGTATTCCTCCACTGTGCCCATTTGCGCAACCGCTGCTAACTTCTCGAAGGGGCTTCCCTTGAAACGAGCGTCGAATCAGTTTGTAAAAGCCCGAGAAAATTCCACCCAAGTCATATCTGGCTTTCTGGATCGAACCCACGAAAACCAGTAAAGTGTCGATCCCTCCATCGCCTCCATTGCAGTCGCCAATTTTGACTCCTCGGTTGTCTGGTGCAACTCGAACTGCTGATTGGCCTTCGCCAACCAACCGATCGGATCTACCCGGTCAAAGAAGGGCAACGATGGTGGCGTCAGATCCCTCTTCACTTCAGCCCGAATCTCACGCCCCGTCTCGGTCGCGGCTGAGTCTACCACATCCTCGCCCGCCTGCTGTCGCGGGGTGGTCGACGTCCCCGCACCTCCATTTGTCACTGAACAGGCAGCCGCGATGGAAACGACAAAAGCCGTCAGCCCGGCCAAGGTACGAGCAATCTCCTTCAACTACTCGGTTACCTTAGCCTAATTCTCCGCCAACGTCTTCATCTCTGCGCTGATCTCCGCCTGCCTATTCTCCAAATCCTCAAATCTCTATTCATTGCGTGTGTTCGTCATCCCGGGTGAGTGTCCACACTCACTGCACCAATTGTTGGCACTGGAAGAAAAACAAACGCGACGCGTTTGCCCAATAGCCAGAAGGCTCCTCTTATTTTTCTCAATAATTAAAAAATCCCCTCTCAATGTCTTCATCACATTCTTAAGTAACGATTAACCCTAAGCCCAACAATTAGGCCCACAACTAATAAAACAAGGCAATACAAATAATATAATAATAGGGATAAATAACTAAACCACTGCCGACCCAGCCCGCTAGCTGCGACGTTGTCGCTATAGACCAGTAACGGTCGTGGCTCTGCCACCCCGACACCTTGCTCCACATCATCTACTAACCAAAGTCTTATCTAGCCCTCGCCTCAAATATCTATATAACAAATTAGGCATGATCAATATCTATGTACCAACTTGAGGGGGTGTTATATATTATGTTAGATATATATATATTAGTATTTAATTACATTGTGGGCCTATAACTCAATATAGATTATGTGTATATACATGTGTAATGTAAGTACTATTGTAATTTTTAAGTTAGTGAAACAAACCTAATTTCTCACACAGGCCTCAACTCAAGAATGTCAAGAAAAAAGATCAATCCAAAATACTATAAGGGAGGCCCAGTTGTACAATCCAGAGAAGGAAATCACAAGAAGCTCAAATGATAAAGAAGGCCATGGAGAAGTGGTCAAATGGATGAAAATATAGGAGTCTCCCTCGCCAAATGATGGGAAAGTTAAAAGAACAAACATCCTAAATTCTAAGAGTAAATCAATTAGCCCATACAAGATTTATAAGGAATGGTTTGAGGGACAAAAATGATCACACGAAGATACCCAAAATCTAGTCCTTTGTTCTCAAAATTTTTACTATTTTTTGTCTTTTATCTATTAGGATCTTTACTTTTTTTTTTTTTTTTAGAACATGAGAACCTACAACCGCTACTCTTCAAGTGCACTTTGCATAAACCCCCGACCGAACCTAGTAGCCTTATTAGAATCTACTTTGTATTCAACTCCATGTGGTTTACATGTCTTTAAATTCTGGAATCTACTTTGTATTCAACTCCATGTGGTTTACATGTCTTTAAATTCTGGAAGTTTGAGTTTATTACTTTCCTGCATTAAATTCTTGCATTCTCTTGATTTTATTTTAGTTTCTGCATATACTTTTCAGCTCCAGGAATGCTGAAAAGAGATTAAATTGCTCATTATTCACTAGTCACTCTAGTAACATATATTGCTCATTTCAATTGCGCATCAAACTTTATATCTTATTGAACTCAAGGGCAACTGAAATAAACTATCAAAATATGAAGCAAAAAATTTAATAGCCACTAACCTTTAAAAGATCAAAAACCTTCTCAGATATGTACTTCTGTTGAATTGTCGCTCCCCGCTGTTGTAATTTGTCAGGGTGGACACAAAGAGTTGCTTTCCTGTAACTTTTTTTGACAGCAGCAGAAGTTATAACTTCAGTTAAAGGAACTGGTTGCCAGCCGCTATCTGGCCCAAGGATCTGTGAAAAGCATATAATGAACACTCAGCTTCTATATGACAATTGTGCTGATTTATCAAACACCGAACTAGATTGATGAATTGATTTTAATCTAACAATGTTTATTATCGAGACTAAAATAAATCTAACTCATTAGCCTCTTTAGCAAGAAAACAAAATAAGTTTACGTGTAGTTCAGTCATGTTGTAAGTTGGTCTGTAAGGACAACACCTAACCAAATCAACCTAGTCATCACCTCTAAGCAATGGAAAATAAAGTATAATTAATGTACAACACACAACTAACAATCTATCCCCTTTTCATCAGCCAAGTACTAGCAAGATTAGTAAGAATGAATAAGTAGATGTTCATGGTTTCAAAGGCAAAAATGTGTGGGCAGCTTTGGCAAAATTAGAAGCATTCAGTGAAAAACAAAAAGATTGATCATGAAAAACAAATTTGCTTAATAGATTCCTTTTAATGAAAGTATGTGGAAACTAAATGAGAACTAGAACTACATAACAGTTAAAAACTTATTAATCTTTAAATGAAAAATGTTAAATTCTGACAATTTCACATGATGAAATCGTTTTCTGCTGGAAAATTTATAAACAATAAATCGGTTATAAGTAGTTGTTAATTTTAACAAAGAGATGGAAGAAGCAGAAAATATACATATTGCAAGGTTGAAAGCAGTGCCCGAAGGTTTCCTTCTTTTCCAATTGACCATCTCTTGACTTCAGCATCCAAAACTTCAGCAACTCTCTGCAGATGTGTGATACAACACAAGCTTGGATAATAATAAGAAAATCAAAGAAAAAAGCATGAGGGAGTTGCTCATACATTCCTCTCTTCTCTTTCCTTCTGAGCAAGAAGATCACGCCTATTTTTCTCAGCCAACGCATTTGCCTGAAACATGCCAACAAGTTTGACATTTTTGACAGGGATGAATTAATTCAACATGAAACTATCACAGAGATAAAAAGAAGGCAAATACTGCTCGTTCTTCTGTTCGCTTGTATCTTTCTAAACGAGCCTTGCATCTCTCGGGTGATTCACCTTCAGTCCCTATCAAGTTCCAACAAGTGTAAGCTAAGGGGAAGACTTTAGAAGCAATATAGAATTTTCATATTAATGAATCCTTAAAAGACTATAAAGTAACGAATCAAACATTAAAGAAGGTAAACTCATAATTAAAACAAGTTTAAAAGATAGATTTGCATACCAAAATGTGCTGAAGAATATGAATGCTGCAAAACATTCATGTTTGAAGTACTTCGGAAGCGAAAATCCTGGCATACACCCAACAAAACTCCATTAAATTGTCAATTGACCTTGGGTGTCAAATAAAGGCAATGAAGCTACTCACAGAAGTCAAGGAGCTTTGTCTAGTGTAGCCAGATCTTAAAGAAGCAGAAAACCTATCAGCCCCATACTTTTCTGCATGATCATGGGTTTCAGATCCACGATCCTGAGCACTATATTTTTTAACAGCTTGCAGCCGAGCCTCTGCAGTTGCTCTCTCATGAGTAGCTCTCTCAGTCCTGAGCCTCACCACTATTGATGACTTCTCTAGTCTTTCATAAGTGTCTGCTGCCCGAAACCTTACTTCTGCAGCAGTTCTATCAATTGCAGCTCTTTCTGTCCTTTTACGAGCTTCAGGATATGATCTTTCATGAGCTTGAAGAGCTGTTTTATCAACAGTCATCCGGTCCTTTTCTCTTTCCCTTTCTCGCTCTCTTTCTTCTTCTACTTTTCTCATATGATCATTTTTTGAATCACTTTCCCTTGTCATTGTTTCCCTATATTTTTGGTTAGCAAGGTTGTCTTTGATATTCTTGTCTTTCATTTCGATCCTTTGGCTTTTAGCAGATTTTATTGAATACAATGGATTCTCACTTGGTCCAAAGATGAATGGAGCATCTTCTACATTACTTCTATATATGAGAGAGTTTCTGATCTCCTGACATCGAGTGAAAGTATCTTCAGTATCTTCCTTTTTGTTGACAATTTGAGTTCCTTTTGTGTTTCCGGATCTTTCATCCTTAGTAGATGTTATGCTTTCAGCCTTAAGACCATATTTCAGCTCTGAGCATCTGTTATCTGGGACAACACATGAAAATCCCCTGCTTTCATTAAGACTTGAATCTGTCATCTTCTCAGGTGAATTATGTAAATCCATGACACTGCTTGATAGGATACAAGTGTTTCCATCATGTGAATCATACCTATTAATGTCCGTTCCCAACGTATCATCCACTACCGCTTCAGCATCATAGATGTTACAGCTAGATCCAGTTCTCAACTCCTTACATCCCTCAGAAGATTCTGTTTGGTTTAATCCCATAATTTGAATAGAATCATGCTTCACAGAGAACATACCCTCCTCTATTACTTTAGGAAGCTTACATCCACCAGAAAGAATATTTAATTGATCCACATCATTGAAAGGTTGATCACTCAAATCTATTTTGAGTACTCTTTCATACTCATTACTCTCAACTGGCTCATTTTCTTCAATGGTTCCAATTAGTTTTGCTTGCACACAAGCATCTGTACTAATGTTCCAAGTGCCTTCTGATTCAAAAAAAGTTTCCTCATTACCTGCTTTTTTCTCAATATCTGTATACCTTTCATTATATATGTTTTCAGGACCATCTCTTCTCCTTTTAAATACCTCACTTGTATGAACCAACTTGTGTTCTTTGTCATTTTCAGCTTGTTCAACAACCTCTGTAGGTATCTCATTCACTTTAGTTTTACAAGCCTCCATTTGCAACTTGTTGCCTTCCTCAACTCCCCGTAAGCTTTGCTCATTACTCAAAATTCTATATGAGTTATTGAAACTCTCCCCATCATCCTTATCTTCTTCAATGAGTATCTTGCTCTCCTTAATTTCAGCAGTCTCCAATTTTCTATCATAATCATTTTCTGAGACCTCAGTGCATTGTTTCTCTATTTCTTCAGTTACTGGTATCCTCTTCACCCTCTCCGAAGTTTCTTCTCCTTCCACATCCTCAGATCTTTTCTGCCGTTCCACCCTCAATGTATTTATTCGTAAAATTTCACTTTCCCCAAGCTGTTGGCCGTATTCTTCAGTCTCACTTAAATTACCACTCAGTTTACCGAATAATCTACTGTTCGACCTTGTGTATTGGTTTTCCTTTTGCTGCTTGCAGTTTGAAATGCAATACTCTCCAGTCATTTCAGGCAATCCATTTTCTTCATCCCATCTAGTCTGTTGATATCTTACTGTTGGTTTCCTTTCAGAAGCCTCTTCTAACTCTAAAGGTCTCTTATTGTTATCCTTCTGGTTAAATTCCGCATGGTCAGGTGATATCTGATGCCTACAGTTATCTTGAGTCACGTGTTGCATCAAAGTATTGCAATCCCCAACCATATCAAATGCCTGCCTGTTTATTTTGGTTTCAATAACCCCAATATTTTCTGTTGCTTTCCTCTGTGCAGCATTCCCAACAGACCTATCGATAATATGGTTAAAAGAAGGCAGTTCACAGGACTTCAAAGTTTGTTCTTTGCTATTTGTTGATCCTATTCCATCTTCAATAATAGGTGCAGAGCCTGTGGCTACTTTTCCTTGTAAACAAAATAATTCATCCTCATCACTGCTCATACACACAGATTTAATGCTACACATGTCCCCTCTCGAAATGGAGTCTTCCTCACTTTGATGCTTGGCTTTAACATCCTCAGAAAATTCTCCATCATCCTGTTTAATGGCAAACAAACTAGACGAACTATCAGACTCCACTTTCCCAATAGAATCCTTGAGTTTAACTAAGGCTGGTGGAGGTCTCAAAGGAGGTGGCAACTGTGAAGGCTTGGTTCTTAGGCTGATATCTGATACAGTGACAAATGGTTTATCCCAGGCAGGATGTCCTTGATTCTCTAGGGAGTTGAAATCATTTACTTGAGGATCAAAGCCACCATGAAAGGTATTCAACAAGATATACTTGATGTTTTTTGTTTCATCAACTCTTTCACCAAATTCTTCAGTTTCCTCAAGATGTTCGACAACATGCATCGGGCAGTGCTTATCCTCCACACGCCATGAAACATCACCTTTATATTCAGAGGAAATTTGTGGAGAAACAGCAGTAATATTAACATGAGGGGATCCATTTGACACTGTTCTCATATATCTCAGACTAGATGAGTTAAAAATTTCATTGAACTCGTTATTACCTTCTTGTAAGCAGTGAGCTTCACCATCTGATAACCTACAAGTGTTATCAGAGCCACCACGAGGATCTAACTCATCTGACACAGAGTCACTTTCTGCTGGACTCCTATGACATACATAACAACAAAAAACCATCGCAATTAGACCAGTACATATCAATTTCTTTCCATGGAAGATAATCCCAACTCAACTTTCAATCCTATTAGAAGGTTATAGAAAACTATTTCCATGGAGGGAGGGGTGGTGTTATAGAAAACTTTCAATCACGTACGTTGAAGCAATGCGGAAACCTAAATCCTAAACTATTAGTTAACCAAATGACCAGAAAGAATGAAATCCAGCATCAGGTTCCTTTCATACCAATTCATCCAGCAACCCCTTTCGATTCAAATGCTTTAATAATTGCATATTAAATCAACTACAAGCAAGAACGCGCAAGTAGTGCAAGCAAAGGAACTCAGAAGAACAAAACAGCGAATATCTAATCGGCATGTAATGTAACGTAATGTACCATTGCTCATCGGAAGAATCATATTCACCGCCGAACTGCCCGAAGAAATCCTCAAAAGAGTGAGTGAATGGAAAGCCTTTAATACCTCCGAAAACCTCAGTATAATTAGTAAAAGCGTCAGAAAATGAATCACCGTCGAGATGGAGTAAAGGAATAGACGAGGAGGAGGAGGGGGTGTGAAGAGCGCCAAAAATCTCGGAATAGTCTTGGAGGCGAGGGGCGAGGGTGGAACGGCCCAAGTCCAACTTTGGGGGGGCCGCCATGAATGCATCGTCGTAGACAGACTTGTGAGAAGTGAAGACAACATCGGAGGAGGAGGAATCCGAGAAGAAGCTCCTCTGCTTATTTGCAGCAAGTGAGTGGCCGCAATGGGGAATATTATTATTACTATTATTCATGCTTTCCATAGGAACCAAGAGACAGAGAAAAAAACAGTATCAGTTCAGTAGCACAGTGTAGTGTTGTGTGTGTAGTGGGCAGTGGGCATGTTCTTCATTTTGTGTTGCTCCATTGTTACAAAGAAAGATAAAAACATGTTTCTACCAGATTGATAATAGCAAACCAATGAAAAGAAGAAGATGAAGAAGAAGGCTGACTGTGTTAGATCATCATAGATGTCATATGATATATCCGTCTCTTATATCTAACAACGGCTATAAGTAAGGCTAACTCGAAGATTAATCATGAATCATGATTCATTCCCATACTTTAGTGCCAAGTTTGTCCCCGCTTTGTTATACATGCTTACTTTAGCTTTACTATTATTATTATTATTATTATGCGCATGCAATATCCACTAATTGATTAACAGTTAGATTAGCAATATCAACACAAGCAAACTAAAAACAAATCTAACATGTAAAATACAGGTTCTGTCTTGAGGAATTTTTTTTTGCATGATTTTACTATTTGATTTTTTTTTTTTTAGAGAAAAAAAAATCAAATTAAACATTTATTTTTTATTTATTTGATTACACTAAAATTTAATTTTACATTCAAAATTTTCTACTGTTCAAAATCAAAACCAAAAACTATAATCTTACAAGTAAAAACACCGATGCCGTCCCTTAAATGGAATAAATTCACTTTCTTTTGGGCGTAAGTTTATAAAATATTTACTACATTAAATAGTTAATTAAGGTAACTATAAAATTTTTAATCTAAACAATACATAAAATTCTCCTAAAAGAAAATACTAACAATAAAGACATAAATTGAATTTAGTTGTTGATAATGATAAATATTTTGAATGAGATTTTAGATTTATTTACTTTAGCAAAATAGTAATCACTCTTTTCAACAATAATTTATTATTTTTTCTACAAAATATTTATAAAAATAATACAATTAAATATTTTAATAGTATATTTACGATTCTCAGTAACAAACAACAACAAAAAATCCCGCCAAATTTATTCTCACTTTCTTTTTTAATTATTACCCTTTATTCGACACTTATTTACAACAAATACCATTAACTTTATTACATTATCTTTATTCATTTACTTTTTAACTAAATTTCCAAAAATACCCTTAACTATTTATTACTTTTTCAATAAAATATTTATTTTTCTTCATTTTCGTGTCGAGTCCAAATAGGCTAATTTTAATGAACAGAGAGAGTATTTTATTTTATTTTTGTATCTTTCAAAAAAGAAAAAAAAATTGTTTACAAAACCACATGAACTAATACAAAACCTAAAGAATGAGATAGTAAATATATAATAATAATAAAAGTAATAATAATAATAATAAAACTTTTCATCCATTCCGGATAAATTGTCCAAGTTACTGCGAACAATATAATTTAAGTAAAGTATAATTGATAAGTATATTAATAATAAAAAAAAATATAGATTAATACTAAGATAATTAACTAATATAATTAAAATTAAAAAAATTATAAATTATAAATTATGAAATTTAAAATGTAATGTAATTAAAATGTATAATTATATATATTAAAAATGATAAATTATGTGGAAAAAAAAAGAAATTAAATAATTTATGTGGAATGTAAGGACTAATAAAATAAAGCAACAGCAAGGCAAAGGCCCAAAAGTAAGGAAGCCTGGGAGAATTTCTTCAAGCAGCAACGGCCCATCTCACTCGGGGCCCAGTAGGAAGATAGGAAGCCCAGAGCTTGATTTCAAAAAAAAAAAAAAAAACAAGTCCAATCTTCAACAAAGACGGGCCCACCTCAGGAGTCCAGCCACCGACCAGGCCCACTTCCCACAAGCCCAACAATAAAAAACCAGTCCAGCTCAAATGAAAACTCCATCACACCACAACAAAGCCCAATACAAGAAACAACCGCCCAGCCCAACAACAACATTACGACCACTTCGAGTAGAGCCCAATCCAACCAAACCCATAACCAATAAAACAAAACCTCCACATAGAGCCCAATATATATGAATATATATAAATACAAAGCAAGCCCAACGCCCAAATAAAACCAACCTAACAAACTCAAACTAAACAAAACTAAAAAAACACAATTAACCAAATAACCAATCTAGAATCAAAATCAACTAGGTCGGATGGCTGGTGGTGTGGGGATAGATTTGTGACCGGAGGTTTAATATTTTTAATATTTCTATTCTTATATTGTAAAAAACTTACAATGAAATTTTGATTTTGATTTTACTTTTAATTATTAGTTATAACCTTGATTGATTATTAATATAGTCAACATGTATTTTTGGTTTAATAAATACATATTTTTAGTTATTATTCCTAATAACTTATTATATATTATATATTGTGCAATTATTATTATTATTATTATTATTATTATTATTTGTTATTATGTTTTATTAATAATTGTAAAATTAATTTTAATACTTCCTCCGTCCACCTTTAAGGGTTATCACTACAAAAAAACTCTTAATTTGCGAGGGAAAAATTCCCTCGCAAATCAAATTATTTCATTCGCAAAACATGTTAGCGAGAGAAGTTGCGGAGGAATACATGTCATCACTATACACTTGCTCGTTAATTTGGATCCGAGAAAAAATTCTCTCGCTAATTTGGATCCGAGAAAAAATTCTCTCGCTAATTTGCGAAGGAATTCATTCATTCGCAAATATCCATCGCAAATTGATTCAAAATTTACGAGGAAGTTCATTCCTTCGTAAATATCCATCGCAAATTGATTCGAAATTTGCAAGGGAATTCATTCATTCTCAAATATCCATCGCAAATCATTTTACAAATTATCATCACTAGTTCATTTCAAATTCCTATACTTCCAAAATAATTACAAAGTAACAATATATTCATTTTAAATTCGTATACTTGTCTCAAACAAGTACAAAATAACATTATAAGAAATCATTTTAACCATCCAAATAGTAAGCACCATGTAATACAAAATAAACTTCATCTCCAATGCCATATGATAACATAAAATAAAGCAAACATTCCATCAATTCAGTAAATACCAAAAGTAAACGAAATATGAAGGAAACATTCCATCAATTTATAAAATACCAAAAGTAAACGATTGTTTAACACTCATCCACATCCCTGCAACCACTTATCTCCCATCCATGGTTTATTTATTTGACCTGCAACAACTGCTAAAGTTAAGGATTCAGCATTGTGCACACCTCCTTATCTCACGGGATACAACCACTTTAGTTGTCTTCAAGGCCCCTGTATTGAAAAACTTTATCAAAATATGAAAAGACCAAATGACATAGGTGTGTTTACTATATGGCAGAAATTGGGATTAAATAGTCCCATCTAATCCTCCATAGTAAACACAGTCTTAAGTGGTACTAAAACAGTAACGAGGAACATTTTTCTAGTGCAGGGCAGACTATGTTCTTTTATATCAGGATTAGCAGCTGGTTGTGTTTCAGATTCCAGAGAGAGCTATTTGCGAAAAAGAGAGAAGTGTCACAGACAACATTGTCTTTGATGATACTAATTATAGGCATCAATGGTATAGAAAGCACAGACAACAGTTTGTAGTTTATTCTTTTTTGGAAACATTTATCAGGGTGTAAATACCGTAACAGTAGCTTGAATATTCGATGATAGTTGTTTACCTTGTTGAAGAGTTCAACTGGGGGAATGGTATGAAACCTCTTCTCTGTTTGGAAATTAAATTCCTGTGAACAAAGGGGATGATACAACGTTAGTTCGTCTTGTTTCAAATGAATCAACTATCTCATGTAAGATTAAACCAGAATATAAATTTATATGCACATTACCATTTGGGTTGTGCTTTCCTTCTTACTATTTTTAAAAACTCCTACACCCCCTTTGCTTGGTAAAATCTGATATTGAAAATTTGTTTTAAGTTTGAAACATATTGAGAAGACAATTGGTGCATGCAGACATTTTAATAACCCTTATAGTGTATTTAGCATATAAATGATCTTGAGAAGAGTACCTTCTTGTTGAAGGCCTGAGCTTTGAAGCTGTGAGATGACTGGCCACCATTTGTCCTCGAAGCAATATTCATAATGCTGGATATGAAAAATATGGAAACTTATACATAAGATACAAACATGTTACAGGACATGAATGGTCAAATGGTGGTCATAAAACTCTTATAGAACGGAGTCAACAGACTGAAAGACCAAACATAATGGTGGAAAAAACGAAATTGGCATATGCAGACAAGAATAAGATGAATGAAATGTCCCCGAACAAGCAAATACGAAAGAACCTAATGTCTTATCACCTCAAAAAACTAAAAGATTTTTCCAGTCGAGCATGGATAAGAAGTTAAGTTTAAATAAAAAAAAAAGCGGCATTATTAACATAATCCACTATTCAAAAAACTACCTTCCAGGCTCTGTGCTTCCGCATTCTGTTGTCAAATCAGTTGAATATTTTTTTAGTACCTGCTCCAAGATTATAAAAAAAAAAAAAAAGAAGAACAAAAGAAAAAAAAGAAGCAATATCAGTAACAATGAGTGGATTTCTATATTTAACTCGACACTATTTCTCCATATGGAAAATGAACAGATGGATTTACGTATCACGAAGATTTCACATAATCATATAAACATTTTAATAACCCTTACTAGAATCATGTCCAATTACAACCTTATCAGGATGATTCGAAGGTGGAATTTAAAACTGATGAGCTATGCTGTGCAGCCTCTCTGATGTCTTCAAGTGAAATTCCTGAAACACCAGTCACCCAATATACACACATATACATGCATATCAATACAAAATCATGTCAGTCAAACGTTGCTATGAAGGAAACCTATTCTAGCCACTCACCTGAAAATCAGGAGCCTGACGAGTGCTTCTCTTTGGGAACAATGGCGTTGTTTCAAGGATCTGAAAACAGAGTAGTTAAATCTTAATTATGTGCTATGAATAAAAAATATGCAAGATCATTCATAAACATAGATACTAACCTTTCTGTTTAAGGGACAAGCTTTGAATCTATAGACAGTTGAAGTCACATTTTAACTTTACTACTCATTTCCCTGATATTCAACCATTAAGCAGGACAGTTAGAAGTCCATCAGAGTAACTCTTCAACAGCATCATGAATTTAGTTACAATACATGTGCAACCTCGAGTCGACTCCCAACAAAATAGCTCTCGATCATCTATATAGTATATCTATGTT